TTCCCTATACCCCTTATTTCCTTGCTTTTGCCATAAGTGGAATAGGGATCAGTCTGGGGAAGGCATTCTGCTCTTATTCAAATGGGAATGACAATATGCTATGGCACATGAGCATAGTTACTAAGAGCCTATGCTTACTGAAATGCCATTCTTGGTTTTTGTTTTTGTTTTTTTTGTTAGAAATGAAATGCAAATAGCCTTATCCCCATTGAATAATTTCTTAGGTTATTTGTCCTTTGGATTTCAGGCAACTCATATCTTATTTTATTTATTTTTTAAATTTATTTTTATTGTATTGTTTCCATTAACACTTATCCCCTTTAGTTTAGACCCCCTCCATCCCCACAATCACCACACTGTTGTCCATGTCTGTGAGTCCTTTTTCATTTTTTTGCTCTACAATTCATATTTTATTTATTTTTTTCATATTTTAAATAGTCACTGATTTCATGGTAAATCATCAGCAAAAACCTTATATTCTTCTCCATTTTTCTGATAGTCCACTTTGCTTTTTATGTTTGAACTTGGCATCTTAAACTTTTTTGTACAGTGGAATACGTTGGCAGTCTGGTAAAGACTGATTTCCTCAGAATAATGTTTTCAAATGAATAAAATAAAAATACATGGTATTTTGGAAAAACCCATATAGATTAAAATACATTTTTGATATCTATAGAAGATAGGAAAGAAGTGGGAAAAACTAGAATAAAACATGAAAAATAGAAAAAGAGCAATGTGAAAATAGAAAATTAGTATACCTGAGATTATAATAGTGTAAAAATGTTTACCCAGTGATCATAATTTTGAGATGCAAATATTAAATAAAGTATTAAAAATCAGAGATTTATTTTCTATAGGAGACAATAAAAGAAAGATATGGAGATATGTAAAATACACAGAGAACACATAATCAAATATGAAGCAAACTAACAAAATTAGTGATTTTTAACATGGAAAAAATAAAATTTAAAGCAAAAACCTGCATGAATACAAAGAGTGTTTCTAATATAAGAAAAGAATAATAATAATAAAAGTAATGACCACCAAATCACAAACAATTATTAATATTGCTTCAAGTTAAATGAAACTATAAATGAAAAAATTATGAGCAGAGGCAAATAATTGTGAATGTATGTTTATTAATTATTGATTTCAAATTATTATATAATAAGCATGGATAAAGAGGGTAAATATAGTTAATATGGTTCATCTATTGTATATTTAAATTTAGTATCATTAAATTTCTTTCAAAAAAATGGACCATTCACAAAAATTAAATTACATATTAGCCAAATAAATCTTACCGTAGACCAACTATTATATAAATATGTTGTCTGATCCAATTTAATACAAAAGAAACACCTACATCTATATCATAGAACTAGAAAATTACTCAGTTTAATAACCCTTATATTAAAAGAAAATTACAAAGGATATTTTGCAATTTTTTGAGCTGAATAAGAACTATGTGTCAACATTATGGAATATATCTAAATTAATATTTAGTCAGAAGATATATAGTTTTGAATACATATACTACAAGAAATAGAATGATGAAAAGAAGCTTAAAAAAATAAAAAACTTTTGCTTTTAAGAATATGCCAAACCAGATGTCTGGAGAAACCCCTCCAGTTCAAAATATATAAAAATATGCAAAAACAAGTCTTTAAGTTCAAGGCCAGCTGTCAGGAAAGTTTTTTTAAAAATCTTCAATTGCCAAAAATGGTAGGAAAGTGCAAATTTTGAGAGAGAAACAAAAAGTGTTAAAAATGAAAACTTTGGGGCATTTTTCAGTCTCTTTTTAAACTAGAGCTTGTTTTATCATTTTAATTCTTTTTTAAAGATTTTATTTATTTATTTTTAGAGAAAGAGGGATGGAGGGAGAAAAAGAGAAAGAGAAATATCACTGTGTGGTTGCCTCTTGTGCATCCTCCACTGGGTACCTGGCCCTCCACCCAAGCATATGTCCTGACTGGGAATTGAACCGGCGACTCTTTGGTTCTCAGGATGGCACTCAATCCACTGAGTCACACTCACCAGGACTAGAGCTTATGTTTTAAACAAATGTGTGTTTGTAAGATAATATATCTAGCTTGTGCTTCTCCAAGACTAAAAATAATCGGATACTATTGATAAACCAGGACCCCTGCAATGCAATTCCTTAAAGTGCAATGAGAAAACAATATATGCCCAGAAAAAAGTTAAATTAGGGGTACTTACCTCTCAATCATGACACTGAATTGAAGGAAAAATGTAAAGGGGAATTGCTGTTCCACAAATTTCTAATAATACTCTTGCACATATGTATATTTAGGACCAGAATTTTTACTACCTAAGTAGCCTTTACTAGCTTTGTAGTAAAATTATAAACTGAAAATTTGATTTAAAGAAGTCCAAAACTGGTGGGGTCCCCAGTCAGCCTCACAATGTTAAATCCTTTTCTGGCAAAGTACACTAGAAACTTGACCTCAGAGAACTTCCACAGATAAAGTTTAATGAAACTGAGTTCAAAATAGAATCGCAAAATACATGACCAAAAGTCATGATCAAGAGTCTGCACTAATAAGCTAAATAAACTTAGACATTAGACCATCAGACATCAGAGTTAGTAATTACACAGTTTATGAAAATGCTGAGGGATTCTCTTTTCCTCTTTTCTCAAGAAAAGTTAACTATTTTTATTCATATATTTTCTTTTATTTAATTACATTGTTCTGATTACAGTAGTTATTGCATAAATTATAGAATATTTAGAAATTCACAGAAAACTAAATGAAAAAAAGCAAACATCTATAATTTTACTGTCTATAGACAAGGGACCCACCCATCCAGCTTATATATAAATGTTATAAAAACAGATTTTTAAGCACCATATCTACCTATATCTGTACATCTTAAAATTTATCTTGAAATCAACATAGAAAAACATGTTAACAGTTAGTTGAGTGTTACAAATATATATATATATATATATTTATATATAAACTTCTCCTTCAGCCATTTCTGTGTTTGTTAATTTTAGGTGCAATAAAACTACATTATTTTATCAGAAAAAAATAGAGTCATTGATAAGAAACATGTAACAATAAAACTAAGCCAAAATTTGCCAAAAATAGCAGTAGATGAAATCATAAAGGGAACCATATAGAGATTTGAGTTGATATAAATTACCACCTTATTTCCCCAAACACCATAAACTAAGTTATTTACATTACAGCAAATTAAAATAAAAATCATAATGTATATCTGGCATGATGTTAATATGTAAATGTTGCAAAATTGATAGGAAGAATTATAAGCATGAAAAAATAAAAGAAAATGAATAATTTCCAAAAATTTGCACCATTTGTTAATAATTTTGTAAAATTCTTAACTTCACTAGTAATAAAATATATCAAAATTAAAAAGATGTTTTTGTGATCAAAGCAATGACATTAAATGTAGTAACTTTGAATGGTTTCAAGATTGGAAGAAGACTGATATTTTTTCACTATGAAAATATTAGCTTACTATTTCTACAGGGCACTTTATCACTTCTGGGAGGAACTCATGAAATTCATCCTCATTGGAATTTCTCTTAAAATAATTTAAAATACTGCACTTTCTATATAGTAGTCATATGGGACTTTTCAGTTCCTGGAATGCTATATACGCCTTCTTGCCTCAAGACCTATGCAAATGCGGCTTCCCCATCCCAAATCTCTCCTACTCTGACCACCATACTCTTACGCAATTTTCAGATCTCCAACTAAACTATCTCAACCTCAGTGATATCATCTCTACTTCAAAAATCAAGTCAGGTTATTTGCTTAGCATCGTTTAGTTTTTCTCTCCCCAAACCAAATATGATTAAGTTATTGTTTGCTATTTATTTGTTTTCTATTAGAATATCTTATTCATTATACTGGGATATTGTTTAGTACTATATCATCAACACCTAACAGAGTTAGCATTCAAAAATATATATTAAATGAATTAAGCCTCTATATTTAGAAATCTTTAGAAAGATTCCAGAAATCTTGTATGTATAAGACAACGCACTTTTGCAAGTTGCTAAAATAAGTTACTCAGTTTTCACATCCTGGGTTGGATATAAATATTCACTTTAAAAAATCAGCATTTGAAATAGATCTGTGAGTGCAAGTTTATGTGTGTGCATATATGTGTGTATGAAACCCTAGAGCACAACATCTCATCCTTCACACTGATTACATCCTGGGTCAATTTGTGTCTTTGGCATAGCTCAGTGACCATGTGGTGTCCTTTGGATACATTCTTCTAGCATAATCTTTACTTAACTCTAATTGGTTCATGATTTTGCTTCATGTCAAGTCAGTGGATTTGAAGAATATAAAACCTGTTTTATCAGTGCTCAGATCCCCTTGCTCCCTTGTAGACTGAGCTATTTTTCACAAAACTACATCTGCTAGTATGACTACTGTTACTACATCAAACACACACCAGTTAAAAAAAAGACATTTTATCATTTAAACACTGAAAATAAAACTAACCCTTTAAAGAATTAAAATTGAAAAGTCAAAAGAAGCACCCCTGTCTCGCTCTCACTTCCATGTTCTAAATGTCAAGATTGACCATCACTTTAGTTTTGTTTCTTTTCCTTTGGGTCTTCTTGGTGAAAGGCTGCCAGTGCTTCAGGAAGTCAGGTAAAGCACAACGGAAAGTCTAGTTTTAGATGCTTATTCCCACTGCTGTCACCTTTACAGTGAATAGTCTCCAAGCTGTCTTTCCTCCCTCTGGGAGATGTGTGGAAAGAAGTTTCAGGGTAGGGAAGCTGACTGAGCCGCAGAATTTGTACGTGGGATCACCCTCTCCTTGAAGAATGAAATTTGCTCAGAAGTCATCAAAATAATTACGGAAGATTTTAGTGATGTTCTATAACACAGTTAAAATTGGTGCAAGAATGTGGTGCAAGTGAAACATTTTCAGACGTTTCTTCACAAAATTATTTTCATAGAGCATCCATTTCTTCCCATGCCTATCTATGGAGCTCTGAGAGGTTTCTCTTTCCTGCAGCACTTTAAAAGCTGTAGTAACTTCAGAGATGCTTGTTTTAGCTTGTTGTTTGCTAGAATTAGGATAAATGAGTGACCCCAGGGATAGAGGGCTGAGATTGTCACACCAAACATCATCAGCACTTTCTTTTCTGGCACCAAGTTACATGATATTTCTATGACGATGCCTATAAAATGCAAGATAAGGAGAATGCTAAAAGATATCAAAACTTTTATTGCTCTCACATGGGCTTCTGAGCTGGAGTCTCTGACACCTAGAACATTCGATTGCATGTGCCGATTGTGTCTCCAAAGGGAAATGATTAACAAGAAACATGTAACCAGTGACAGCGTAAAGAAGAAAATGATCTCCAGATTGCACAAAAACTGGTAAGTAATGTAGTCATTTTTCGATGCGTTGAGATACCAGGTGATGTTTTTATTTTTCGCTTTATAATCATTAATGGTCTTTATAAGTGATGGGAAAATAAATAGCCATGACATAAGCAACAGTCCCATCAGAAGGGAAAATACTTTATTGATTCTATGCTTCCAGCAGAGAAAAACGCGGTGGGAAAAGTTGGCTATCTTCAGGAAATAGAAGATGCTGAGGGTGGTGGCAAAAAAGACACTTGAGTGATTAATAATTACCCATAAGTAAGAAATATACTCAATTAGGTTTCCATGAGAATATGTATCTGGAGAGAGTGCCTTTATAAATCCATCAGTAATTATTATCCATATCAGAAACATTCTTGAAGTAGCTAAGCCAATGAGAATCAAACCAATTACAGAACACTTCTTTTTCTTAACAAAGTCAATGCAGTTTACAAGTCCAATAAACCCATTCCCTAATATCCCCAGTATTGTTTCAATAACTGCTATGAAAATGAAGAGGCCTTCCACTATACTTAGCATATCTGCCAAGCTCTAATGTTGTTTCTCTTATGTGTATTTCAGATTACCTGCTGCAGGATGAGGCATATATTAGCTGCTTGCTGGAAGAATGATTTTCTTTTCTTTCAGCATATAAAGATTTAAAATTACCCCAATAAAGTCATTAAAAAAGAAAAAAATAAAAGTGCCCCAGTTAAAATTACCCCAATAAAGTCATTAAAAGAAAAAAAATGAAAATCCAAATATCTGCACAGAGACTCCTTCACACACACAACATATGTGTGTGTATATATATATATATATATACACACACACACACACATATATAACTTAGCTAGTCTACAGAATGTGTGTCCAGCCTGAATGGCTACCTACAATTTGTTAACATGCAAATGCAATTTTGTTTCATGGATTTATTTGTCCTCCTGAGGCTATTTTGCATTTGTTAAACTGAATTGTGAGTAGGAATACCAAATACATATCTCTAAGAAACAAAACACAACAGAAAAAAGATTGGATATCTTCATTTTTTTCAGTATGAACATTAACATCATCATTTATGTGTGTTAATTGAGGCAGGACACACTTCAAGTTATAATGTAAAGAGAACAATAGATTGTGACTCAATTACATAGAAACACTGAAAAACTGTCATTTTGTCTTAAGGTAGGGACTAGAAACCATTTTCTTGTATTATTAAATATATTTATTTTTTTAAAAAGATTTTCTTTATTTATTTTTAGAGAGAAGGGAAGAGAAAGAGAAAGAGAGGGAGAGAAACATCAATGTGTGGTTGCCTCTTGTGTGCCCCTTACGGGGGGCCTAGCCCACAACTCAGGCCTGTGCCCTGACTGGGAATCAAACTGGCAACCCTTTGGTTCACAGGCTGGCACTCGATCCACTGAGCCACACCAGCCAGAGCAATATATTTTATTTTTTAATTTTTATATTTTTAATTTTTTTAACTTTAAGCTTAACTGGGTATAGAAAATTTTACAACTATCTCACAAAATTTTTGCTGTGTTTTTATGCTCATCGTTATTCCATTCATGAATGTAGGTTGGCTACTCAGTGTGAGAGGTTCTTAGAAATAATCCCTTTATTTAGACCATTTCACTGTGACAACATCCATCCACTCATTCATTCTACAAGTATTTCACTGAAGGTCTAAATATACTAAACACTCTTCTAGACACTGAGGGAATATGGTGAATATAATGGTAGACAGAATCTCAAAGCTTGTGTGATTCATTTAATTTATGTTCTAATCTCCAGGCAGGAAAAAATCACTGAAATCAATATATTGTTTAACAATTTAAATTTTCAAAATTAAAAACAATCTAATTTATTGAAACTTTATTATGTTCCCAGCCCTGTACTAAACACTTTATGGTTATTTTCTCATTTCAATATCACAACAAACCTTTAAAATATGTACTACTATTATCTTCCTTTTTAAAAAAAAGAATAAACTGGGCTTTAGGGAAAAGAACTTTCCAACTTACATTGACATAACTCCCATAAATAAAATCACATAATGACCTCACAATGAAATACCATCAAGCATAGAAACAGACCATGAATGATAGTCCTCACGGCAAAACAAACATAGACATGCAGCAAACACAGACTTCGCATGGACTGCAGATATAGAAATTGACAGATAAGAATATCTGTAAACATAACAGCTATGTATGAACTGCTTTAAAAAATAAAAGATGTAATTTCAAGAAGGGTAGCAATAAGAGACTGTCAAAAGGAAATAGGAAATTTGGGGAAAAAATTTATGTAAATAAAAGGATAATTATATTCAATGAAAATAGATTAAATACTCCAAGTAAAACACTTAATATTGACAGCCAGGATTTTAAAACTCCAGCAATATACTGGTTATAGGAAATATAACTTAAATATTAAGACACACAAATCTTGGAATTAAAATTATGAAAACATAGACTATGCAAACATTATCCAAAAGAAATATGGTATAGTTATAATAATATCATATAAAGTAGACTTTAGGTTAAAAACAATATTAGGGAAAAAAGATGCAGCATATTTTAGAGATGAAATGCTCAATTGAGCATGATTATATTGCTATCCTAAAATTTATGCATTAAATAATCTAGAAAATATTTACAGAACTAAAAAGAGAAAAGGCATCATATAAAATCCTTTAAAATATATAACTCAATAGCTCATAATGCACACAGACCAAAAATCAATAAGACAGAGGAGATCTGAACAACACAGTGGACAAACGATGCATCCAACAATGGAGTAATTCATGTTCTTTTACATAGACTAAATTTTTTTACGAAAATTGACCATATGTGAGGCTAAAGAAAATTCTACAGATGTTAAATGTGCAGCACCTTTCAGAATATGTTCCTTAACTACAAAGAAATAAAATAAAATTCAATAACAAACATCACTAATTATCAACAAAATGCAAATCAAAACTGCAATGAGTTATCACTTCGCACTTGTTAGAATGGGTATTATCAGACAAGGATGACAAATGGTGAGGATGTGGAGAAAAAGGAGCCCTTGTACAGTGTTAGTGAGAAATTGGTACAGCTACTATAGAAAACAATATGGAGGTTTCTCAAAAATTTGAAAATAGAACTTCCATATGATCCAGCAGTCCCACTTTGGGGCATTTATTCAAAGGAAATGAATACACTATGTGGAAGAGCTATTTGTGCCCATATTTGCTGCAGCATTATTCACAATAGAAACAACCTAAATGTCTGCCAACAGATGATGGATAAAGAAAATGTGACATATTATATCATCCAGCCATGAGAAAGAAGGAAATCTAGCCTTTTGCAATGATATAGATAGACCTTGAGGGCATTATGCTAATTAAAATTAGTCAGCCAGAGAAAGCCAAATACTGTATACTCTCATTGGTATGTGGAATCTAAAACAACCAAACTCATAAAGATACAAAGTAGAATGGCAGTTTCCAGAAGCTAGAGGTGGTGAAGGGGGGAGAGCGTTGAATAGAGCAATGTTGTTAGTAGAGGGGTACACGCTTTCAGCTAAAAATGATTAACATCTAGGAATCTAATATACCAAATAATGGCTATAAGTAACAATATTGTGTTATATACTTGTACACACAGACACACACAATTATGTGAAAGGATGGAAGGAAATATTTACTAATCTTTATTGTGGTAATCATTTTGCAATATATACAGGTATCTAATCATTACCTTATATACCTTATATTTATTTATGCTATATGTCAATAACATGTCAATAATATCTCAGTAAAGCTGGAAAATTTTCAATTAACAAAAAGATAACGAGAAAAAAACCTAACTTTGGAAGATCACAGAGGATTTTTAGATTTGTGTAGCTTTAATAACCATTTATACAATTTGTTTTCACTAATTTGAATATCTCAATATTTTCCTTGGTTAATGAAAAATCTATCTTAACCTCTCTACCAAAGCTGTTAGACATGTTAATTATTTCTATTCTCCTTTCAAAGAATTCTCACTTCCAGTGTTACCACACAAACTAAGATGCAAATATCACACACCTACTAGCATAAAGAGAATTTTCATTTTCCAGGAACCAAAACTGTATGCAAAGTGGATAAAGCTTTCATGGTAAATAAATCTCAGGCATCAAAAAACTGTTTTGGAAAGGAAAATTTTAAAGTAAGTCACTTTTAAAATATTCAATAGAGTCATGATTTATGCAGAAAGTTGGAAATTGCCCAGAAAACTTTTCTGAAAGAGCCATTGTCAACATTATGTTGCACAACTTTGAAGTTTTATGTATTTTGTGAGAAACAGATAAAACATACTGTTCTGTAATAATTTCTAAGGAACATATAATGGTCATTTTCTCATATTAATATTGTTCTCTACCATGATTGTTTAAGAGAGACGATAATTTTGATTTTGACTCCTTAATAATTTCCCTTTTCTTGAAGTTTAAGATGTTTCCCATTGTGCACTACAGGGTTTTCCAACCTCAGAAACTGGCATTTTGGGTTAGATAATTCTTTGTTTTAACTGTAAGCTGTTTAGTAGCATCCCTGGTCTCTACCTACAAGATGCCAGTAGCACCTCCCCAGTTGTGACCACTAAAAATGTCTTTAGACATTGATGATTGTCCCCAGGGGGTCAAACATGACCATAGTTAAGAACCACAGATATATTACCTTTATTTCTATGTTGATAAACAACCATTGAGTGTATGTATGCTTGAAAATATTTTTCTTGCTTTCTTTACATTAAAGGATATTGCAATCACTAAAAAATTAGGAACTAAAAATGTTGGCAATAGCTGAAAATTATACATACCTTAAGCAAATTATACCCCCCCTATAAAACAACATATATTCTTGCTTTCCAAAATGAGAGAATAATTCTTGTATAAGTGAAATGGACACTAAAATTAAGTATACACTATATCAAAAAGGATGTCTTGATAAATTTTGGAAGACCCACATGCAAACCATATTCTCAATGTTGCTGAGCAGCATATAATAACAATAGATAACTTCATTAGTAAAATCCTGACACATTCATATAAAAATAAAATAGAACATATTTTCTATGTATACAAAAGAGAATAAAACAGAAAAAAAACCATGCAAATGAATAATTAACCTAAAAATTATCTATTTAAATTTAGAAGATCTAACTGGGAGAAAAATGGAAGTTTTGAATAAGAGGTCAGAAACAATGTGTTTCTAAATTATGAAACAAAAACTCTTGTAAACAATGTGAATATAGTCTCAAATATTTATAGATTTAGTATGTTTCCAAACATTGTATTTAAAGAATTATAAATAGAATTAAAGATTATAGTATTCATTCAACAACATTTCAGTCAACAAAGATTTTAATCAAGTATTTATTGAAGTATAAAATGTACTTGAATTAAGAATATGCACAAATACCCATGTGCATGTTTTATTCACTTGATTTCTATAATGTTATTGTCAGAGAATGTATTTCTTTATTTTTTATTTTATTGTTGTTCAGTTATAG